AGGCCACCCTATGAGAGTTGTTTTGGCACATGGCATGCTGTCCCCTCGTGTGCATCTGGCTCCAGCTGGTGTCCTTCCCCCACGGAATTTCTACCAGGGGTGGCAGCACAGCCATGAAGGTGACACCACCTCACAGGAGAGCTCTCCAAGGCCGATAGCAAAAGGACCTCCCCAGCTCCCCTCCACCTTTCCTTCCTGCACGGAGCCAATTCTGCTCCTCCAGAAGGCACCAGCTGCTCTGAGCACACCACAAGCTGCTCAGAAAAATTTCTGGCCCCTCTCTGAGTCTTTGGAAAGTACCTGCTCTATCACTGGCTGTTTCTGCAAATAGATCTATACCAAGTCATGTGTCTTTTCTTACTTGACTTCAAGTCCTTCTGCCAACACAGCAAATTTGGTCTCCCATCTCAAAGGTGAAGGCAGCAGAGATTTGTCCACCCTGTCAGAGCAGCAGTTCAGTTATCCCTCAGCAAAGCATAGCATGAGGAAAGAGAAAAAGCATGCAAGCTGCCCAAATGCAAGGATTCTGCAGAGCCTGCAGGTGGGATGACATGATCCTGTAGAATATGACCCTATGACAACTGAAGCAAATCTTTGTCACAATACTAACACCCAAGAGAAAGGAGAGCTGCTGGATTCACAACCATGAAGGGACACAGCACACTGCTGCCTGCAGCCAGGAGGGGTAGCCAGCCCCAAAGAGGAGAAGCCTGATGTTTCATTAGTGCTTATTAGCAAAGATGAGCATTGAGTACAGTGAGCTTTCACCTTTGTGCTGCATTGCAAGCATTAACCTTGGAGAGACTCCTATCTGATAAATGCAGTCCGTTTACCAGCCCTGTTTGATACGTGTGGGAACCAATGAAGGAAGGTGAAGTGACACATGCAGTGCTCCTGATGAAAGATCTCTTTGAACCCAGGAGTTCTGGCTGGCTGGAACCAGACCCTGCTCACCAAAATCTGTCTGGATACAGCATCCAATATGTGATGCTTCCATGGCCCATCCCTCCCCTCCTTTCCATGCCCCAACTAATTTCTGACAGTTTCCCTCATTCTCTTCTAAAAATAGATTTTTTTTCTACATACTTGGTTGGAGGGGGGGCAGGGAGAAGTTGTGTGATTTTTTAGTTTTGGCAACCCACCCAAAACCCAGGACCATGTCTGAAAAATCAGCTTTTGAGCATAGATGCTGCAGAGACCAGAGGATTCAGAGTTTTCCTCTGTTATTAGTGAGAATTGGGAGGCTGGACCATATCACACTGAGCTGAGAAAACAAAACCAGAAATGAAAGAAGAGGGAGCAGCTTGTGTAAGAGGCCTTTCATCCAAAAGGGAGGAGTGAGCCACAGTGAACACCTTCAACACACTAAGGATGCCAGATCCTGAGGCCACCAATTAGCCTGGTCATAGGGAGAGGGGGGAAGCAGAGCAGGCAGGACCATAGTCCAGTGCACCAGCAGGTGCATTCCCAACAGCCCCAAAAGAAGAGACCTCCTGGTTTAAACACAGCCTAATGACCACTATTTCCAAGAACACAAGTAACTTATCTGTAAACATCACTCCCCCAACCAGGTATTAGCTGGAAGAAAAAGAGCTTTGGAGAGAGATACTAATTACATAGCTCTCAACAGCTGGACTTTGATCATAATTACAGTGCCTTCTTCATCTTACATTAGTGGCTTTCAGCTGCAGCTAGGTGGGCACTTCTTGGAAGGTGGAAATCCCGCCTGTTTCAGATAGTCAGCTCTTTTTATGACTCAGAGCTGACCTGGGTTTTCTGCAGCACAGGATGAGCTCCCACGGTACCATCCAAGCAAGTAACTCAGGGGGGTCAGTGACTTAGCACTTCAATGCAGATGCTTCTTTCATTACAGCAGCACTTTCCAAGTCCCAGGAGCCAGAGCACTGAGTGGGCTATATTCCTGATTTCAAGCATTTCCTTTTATAAGGGAAGCAGACTGAGAAAGATTTTGAGGTTTTTGCTGAATTTAAGCATCTCTTAGCTCATTCCGTTTAAGAAGATGAGCACACTCAGGATATACCTTTCCAACCTACCTCACTTCAGACAGTCACATGCTACATTTGCACCCTTCACTTCTGCCCCAGGATGTACATCCCCATCAGCACCCAGTGTCCCTCTGCCCCTCTCTCAGCTGGGCTGCAGCTCCAGCACTGAACTCCAGCACCCACAGCAAGAGTGGGGTTGTGAAGGAGGAGGCTTCTGCTCTGTGGCCCAGCTGAGTTCTCTATGCTTTTTTTGTGATGCTTTGCTTTGATACCCACATTTACAAAGAAATTAATAGCCCAAGTGAGGGAGCTGGGCTGTTGAGACAGAAGCTGGAGTGGCCTAAACAATCACAGATAGCACAGATTCGGGCCACCCAGCTATTTTTCCTCATCTGTGGCACTGAATTATTGTGTTGTTTGGATATGCCATTTCTCAGTGGCCTGTGAAATGATAGGCATTAAGCATATGAGCATCATAATGGCACATTAGCTAACGCTGCTCGGTGTGATCTGTGTTCACCTCTTGAGAGAGGAAATCTTTTATCTGTGTCCCACATTGCCTGCCTGCCAGACACCCCCAAACTGAAGAGATTAATAGATGAAGCAACAGCAGAGGGTAAATTCGAAGCCAGAAATCTTTGAGCTAACTGGGATTTATAACTGCTTCCCCCTCCACACCGAACTACAGGGTGACACTCTCCCCGCAATTTGACAGGTTCCACACACTTTTCACTATTGGGTTTTTTTGCCAGCGTGCCTCAGCTCAACGTTATCTGTTTGCTGGTTAGATAATTACTAGATGTAATTTTGAAGTTGCAGAGAAGCACACTGGTATTAGCTAAATAAAGCACTTTGACCACATCAAAGCAGAAGTGTTTCAAACTCTGTAAAATAAATGCAGTTATGAAACTATTGAATTTTGTTAAAGCAGTCAGAGAAATGTCACCCAGCACATCATGAATAAGCAAGCAATGGAGCTTAAAGCTGAAGACTGTTTATGTCTTCAAACTGAGGAAAGTATCTCTGGGACCAGCTTTCAGCTGATTTTGACCTGTGGCAGAGCACAGTCACTTATAATTGGACAAATGCCACTCTTGGCTCATGTAAACAGACATGCATAACAGCTGAGACATGTTGTTACTCTAAGCTATATCTTGAACAGGTTTTATGACTGAGGGGTGTCACAAACTCTATCTGTCCCGAGGCTTCCCACACTGCACTGTTCTCTTAAAAACTCATCATGCTGCTAAGGCATGTGGCGAGGAGCAGTAGAAAGGCCTGACTTGCTGAACGAGGCAGATTTGAAGGGGTGAAAGACCCATTAAAAAAATTCTACAGAATACAGTCAAGGGATTTTTTTTTTCCCCCCTTTAATTCCTGTTCCTCCTGAATGTTTTTGCCTGAGCTGCAGCACCAATTTTCTGAACCTGTTAGATGGGATGTGACTGTCAGGAGGGGCTAGTACTTTGCATTGCATCTTCATGCTTTCTAATTTAATTTTTTCCCCCTTTTTTCTTTTTCTTCATTTTCTGTTTTGGAATTTGCCTGGCTGTGGTTTCCAGCCAAGGAAATTTATTAATCTGCTAAAGATTCCGCTGCTGCCAGCCTGAATCCACCTTCCCGGATGGGCACCGCTTTTGTACTGCTCTTCTCCTGTCTGCAGGCACATCCCCATCGGGATCAGCAGGGCTGAGTGGATTTGCAGGAGATCAGAGCGTGGCTGCATGTGCCTGGCCAGCCCTGGGGCTCATGTTGTGGAAGGTCTCGCCAGGGAATCCAATACCCCGCCGGCTTCGTTCCATCTTCCTCTGCCACGGCAGCACGGCCAAGGACCGTGCGCTATTTCCCAGCTCCGCTCCTTCCCCTCTGCTGGCCCCCAAACGCGTCCCCTCCTCGCTGCCAGGTCTCCACACTCCTCCCCGGGACCTTCGCGCAGCGGTGGCACCAGGCACCCAGCGGATTAAGCGGGGGATAAAAGCCCCCACAAACCTTGTAACAAGTCACAATAGTGGGGGAAAAAAATAAAGATCACAAAGCTGCCTGCGATGCCAAGGGCTGGGTGATGGTGGCCAAGCCCTTTCTTCAACAGAGAGCTATACATCGTGAGTAGCCTTCCCCAGCACCCTGCAGAGGATGCAGAGTTAATAGTTAACTCTTCCAGGGATTGAATGTCTTCGTGAGACACCAGCCGGGGCTTTTACAAAACACAGACAGAAACTAGTCTTAAAACAGCTCAACAAGTGACTGCGCTCAGAGGATTTCACCTCTCCGAACTTTATGACTGGAAAAATACCATCTACATGTCATTTACATGCTTAAATATAGTATCTTCTGCTGGGGGAAACAAACAAACCGACAATGTGATACTGTGACACCTCGTGCGGACATGCTCTTTTATCTGCTGGAAAGTTATAAAACTCCGCGTAACAACAAAGCTAAAATAAGAGTGGTTGGCAGGCTCTGAGGCTGGCTGTTAGACAGAAGGAAAAAATATTCCTGGAAAATTACTTGCTCTTAGAAGGCAGTTTTTTATTTCTCTGAATATTTTAAATTTTTTATTTATCCTTTAAATACCAAAATCTCAGAGCTTGATAGTTAAGCTCATATTATCTCCAGGAGCTTTTTCATTTAAAGAAACAAATAAACACACTATAGAAAGCTAAAGCAATTCCTGTACTACCCAGAGCACAGAGTAACCTTCTGCTCCAAAACACAAGGGAAGATACTATCAGCCTTCATGTTATTTATCATATTTTTTTCCCCTCTAATGCCAAAGAGGAAAAGGGGATATCTTAAACGGATGCCTATAATTAAACAGTAACCTGTTAGAAAGCCAAAAATAATAATAAGCTCCATTGAGCATGAAGAGAGCGGCACATTTTTTCCGCATGCAGCCCAGCTGCCACCGGACGATAGCAGAAAAGTTAACAATTACACAAGACACTCCGATCAAACCTGCGATAGGAGAGAGTTACGTCACGCTCAGAGACTCACCGCTGGATGCAGGGATCAGGGTAGTACTGCAAGGTGGTGAAAGGTGCTGGTTCGAAATTCATTTCCTTTTGAGCCCCTCTTTGGGGACAAACCAAAATAAAATAAATAAATAGTTATAAAGCCAGCAGGCTAAAAGCAATAAGGTCAAGTGGTACACGAGGTACAACTTTAGAGATTTATTTTACACTTGCGAATGGGTGGGATCTCCTGGGGACTTGGCCAATGGGATTCATCAAGTGACATGAGCATCACCACCACTCCCTCCTCGCCAGCTGGGCATCTTCTGCACGGATATTTTCCCCTCCTCTCAACATCCTTAATAAACTTTGGTGTGCGCTGGCCACACTTGTTGTTGGGAGCTCATCTGGGGCTTCTCTGAACTTCTGATCTCACCGGTCATTGGTTGCCTTCCCGCCTGACTTCACAGTTTAATTTTGGCAGCCCTTGCAATTTTTCAAACTGCTGTGGCTGCTGGTCATCCTCGTCTCCAGATGGCCGGAGTTTCCTCTGCTGGGTGCAGCGCCCGTGCTGAATTTCATCGTGCTTTAAAAGCTCTCCTTGTCAACTCTGTGGCTAGTACCTGCATATAGTAGCCTGGGGAATTTTTCAGACTCTCTCACACCACAGTTCAAACAGCCTGTTGTGGTCACAGTTTCAAAAGCTGAATGACAAAATATGGGGAAATTCCTCAATTAAAATTAACTCTGAACTTTTGCTCTTCTCCCTCCCCTTCCTGCTCTCCTCCCCACAAGAAAACTATCAAACATAATTGTTAATGTTTCCCTCTATAGATTTCTACCATTTTTTTCTGAAAAAGTTGAGATGACATAGAAATCTGTCATTGCTCTGGTGTTCTGTAAATAGTATATACATTTCCATAATTAAAATAACCACAATATTTTCTTGAGGAGAAAATAAAAGAAAGTAGAAATCACATCTTTTTTCAGCCACTAAAGCCTAAAGAAATGAGAGCAAAGTGAAGTCCACCAAAACAAAGTACCAAAGAGGAAAAGCAGATCTGATTTTCCTGAAGGAACATGAAAGCAAGAAGGGATAGCTTTAATTCTCTCCCCACTACCTCCTTTTCTTTTTTTTCTCTGTCCTTTGAGTCATACAGAAAATCATTCAGAAAAGCAACCTGTTTTGTCCCCTGTTTTTTGCCCCACCGTGATTTATCCAAATAGTACAGGCTGTAAACCTATCCTGGTTTTGTGGGTTTGGAGAATGAATGAAATATGAATCAGGAGCTAAATTAAAATGGATTCCAGTAGGAAAAAAATAGCATCCACATATCTGTGCACCAGTGGGATTGCATCTTGAAGCAGACCTATACGTTTGTGTACATGAAGAGAAGGGTAAGGGGCTGCCCTATAACTCACCTATATTTTGTGCCAATGTCAGCACAAATGCCAGCCTCCCAAGCAAAAACCAGGAACCCTCTGAGACAGCAGCGATGGCCTCTTATTTTTTTTCCCTCTGTGTTTTCCTTGTAGGAAATTTTTGTTAGAAGAATGTCACGTGGAAACATTTTCTTTGCTGCCTGTGCCAGGATGGCAGGGGAGCTATTTCAGTCTTGACATTCTCCACCCACACTCAGCCTGATAGTTCCTAACATCTGTGAATTGTGAATCCTGTAAACTTGCAGGGCTGATCCCCGGCCAAGCCTAAGCAGCTTTCGCTAAGTGGCATTCGCCAAGGAAGAGAGGCTGGAAGTGAAGGATGTGTTTATTAACTGAAGTTAATAAACCCTCACTGCTGGTCACTGACTCCTCTGCCTTGCCTGTGGAAGATCAGTAATATGAAACACCTTCCCTCTCTTAGGCTGAACCCCAGAATAAACACCAAATCTTGTAGCCTGTGTCATTGGGGAAGAAGTGTGGGAATCTCCAAACCAGAACCTACAAGGAAGGGGAGAGGAGGAATCACACCAGGGCTTGCACACACACAAAACAGCCCAGGGAGCATGGCTACAGAGGGCTGCATCCCCTTCCACTGCTGAAACCAGTGCTGTGCTGACCCCTGAGCAGCTGCCTCTCCTGATGCAGCAAATACTCCAGGGAATGGGCAAGGAGGGCCAGACAAACTCATGGTCCACACTCCTAGCCTGGCTCTGGTCTAGGCTTTAAGCATGCACCCTTAACCAAAGATATGGCAGGCAAATCCTCTCCATGCACAAACCATTTTATCAAGAGCTTGAGTTCATGTTCTCTTGCGTCAGGACTTGGTTTCAATAGGCACCCGTGGATATGGATAACCAACCTGTTGGGAGGAGCATCAATCAGCAGGCTGGGCTCTGGATACACTGCTGAGACCCCATACTTGCTCCTGGAGAAACACCAGAACCTTTTTGGATTTCTTCTACCATGCCTGTGGTGGGATTAGCTGTTACATCTCCAAGCTTGGCTTCATGGAAAGGTGGTCATGCATTGTGTGCTCTTCCAACAGCCTGGAAAAGTTTGTCTTTTCTGACAGATTTCAGCCTAAAAGACAAAAGAAGTGCTATGAGATAGATGCTGTTCTTGTGAAATCCTGCTCTACCTACTTCTCCACAGGAGCTGGAGAAGAGTCTTCTCCAGCATGGCCTGAGTGCCAGGGTCAACACACTGGGAGCAGGGAAAGGCTCGACCATTCCCACTTGGAGATAGACCCACTTCTGGTTTTGGCCAGTCTTCTCACCTGGCACATGCCCAGATCACACATGCCAAGAGCTTTGTGAAGTACAACTGGCAGCTCCTGAAATTGATGCTGCTGGGCTGGCCTCTGTGTCCAAGGGTGAAGTTGGCCTCTGGTTTTACACTACCTTAGCTCTGCACAGCAGAGTACCCCTTGGTACCCCAGACAGTAAATATAGGTCTGTTACAGCCCAAACTATCAATCCTGTGATTCTTGGTTTTAATGCTGAACACGTCTAGCAGCACCACAGTCAAAAAGAGGTAGTTAGCCTCCATCTAGCAATTCACACCGAAAGAATAACTTTTCAAAAAAAAAAAAAACACTTTATTTTAAAAAGCAGCACCACATAATTTTGATGAGAAATAGTTGCTTGGAGCAGGGCTCTCTTCTCACTCACAAGGCACTGACAAGAGCGGTTTACAGCAAGGACATTTCCATAAAAACTTCTAAAGGGTCCACCAACTGCCCAAGACCTGTACCAGTCCTCGTGCCTGGGACTGGGCACGTGCAAATTCCTCATAGATTGGTTTGTTTTGGCAGTGCACACAGCACCTGGCTGCTTTTCCCAGAGAACTGGACATTTTCAGCCTCCCACAGAGATCTGGATGTGTTCTGAGGTAGCTCAGAAGGTCTATCTTTGGCTTATTCCAACTGGAAAATAGAACCATGGAAACCCACTGGCAGCAGTGCACAAAAGCCCCCTGCAAAAGCCAGCAAGTCTTCCGATTTCTCTTTTCCAATCCAAACTTCCTTCCTCCCTCCTGCTCACAGCCAACATTTAGCTGTGGGTTGATTGACCATGAATTTAGGCAGAGATATTCACCCCTGCAGTTAGGTTGCACCCAGCTCCTCTCAGCTGCAAGGCACTCCTTTGCATAGCACAGTCCACAGTGGGAACACAAGCCACAGGGTGTGTGTGTGTTTGTGTGTGAGCTGACAATACCCCATGCGTAGCTGGAAGGCTCTCAGTGGTATTTGGCCAACTTCATTTGCATTGCCTTAAAGAAAATCTACAGGAAGATGGAGGCCAAAATGTTCAAGAGCTGGAGATTTCAGAGAGGGTTTGAGTGGCTACATGAGGACTAGAAAATTTCTTAATTTAGGAAAAAATTCTTTAAGAAGAAATTCTTTAAGAAGAAATTCTTTACTGTGAGGGTGGTGAGGCACTGGAACAGGCTGCCCAGAGAAGCTGTGGACACCCCAGCCCTGGAAGTGTTCAAGGCCAGGCTGGATGGAGCTCTGAACAACCTGGTCTAGTGGAAGGTATCCCTGCCCACAGCAGAGTGGTTGGAACTAGATGATCTTTAAGGTCACTTCCACCCAAACCTTTCTATGATCAAAGCAGCCTGGGAGTGTAGGCAAGGGGGAGTTTCTTGCAGTAGCAGACCTCAAAGGTAGTCAGCTGGCAAGGGGACTGCTTGTGACATCCTCAGTGTTCACTGCCCTTCCATGGAGGCTTCTGTGCTGGTAGTGAGTGTGATGCTGATCTCACAGCTACAGGCACGTGTCCTGCAGAAGCAGGGCGGAAGCCAGGGTGTCAGGGATCTGTCTGGACAGTGGATTTACAGCCAAGCCCCTAGTGCTTGTGGTGAGCAGGCAGCACAGGGCTATGCGGAGGAAGCATGTGTGTAGGTGGGCAGGAATGCGGGGCATCGCTCCGCCGCTGCTGCTTCCACGTCTGGGAGAGAAAAACAGACAGGGAAACAGCTGTGGACTACTCTCCCATTACCCCTCCATGCACCCTCTCTCTGGCTTCGATTTGAGCTGTCACTGAAATGACCACGAGATTATCTTTTAGCAGAGGCAAACATTTATATCCTTGGGAGGAGACTGCTGGGGATTTCTAATGGTCTCCCCACCACCACCCAGGTCAGTGCCAGGATGCCTTTGTGCAGCTTCCCTCCTGAAAAGGGAGAAAGGGAGAGGCATAGTTTCTTGACATCTCTGTGGCTCCAGTACTGGTCTATGGGTCCAAGGACCTTTGAACAACTTGGAGCCAAGGAAGACAGAGAGATGCCAACTTTCCTCTGAGCCACCTTTTCAACTGCTGGTTTCAGGATTTGCCTGAAATCAGCCCCACCCTTTACATCAGGGGATGAAACATTTCATTCACAGCTCGGGGTTTCCAGGGGAGTGGTTGTGGTTGTTTTAATTTTTTTTTTAAGTTAAAATGAATTTCTTTTAAGAGCAAGAAGTCTGTGGGATATTTGGGGATTTTTTGTTAGAAAAAGTTGAAGAGAAGGAAATAATTCCCTCCTACCAGCAATAAAATGTTTTTAGCTTCGCTGTCCAAGGGAACAGAAACACACGTCAGTGTACCTTTTGAGCACACTTTCCAATTTCAACTAAATATTATGGATGTTTAAAGGTCTCAAAGGAATTAAGGTTTTAGGAGTTTCATAAACATAAGCAAGCAGAGGAAAGACAATTCTTCAGTAACTCCAGTGAAGGGAAAGAGGTAACAGGAGTATGACCCTCACAGGCTTTGGAGAATCTACACGAATGCTCGATGGTGGGAAAAGCTTCCTTAAGAATTCAGATTTTGCCTCCAGCCAATCTCTGATCTTACTGCTCCAGGAGTGTCAGATTTCTGGCTTTTGGCTCATACAAGCCTTCCCCCTGCCTTCTATACTGAGAGACAAGGGACAGGGAGAACAGTAAACTTAAAAAATAAATTAATATATAAAAATACCACAATTTTACACACAATCCTGCCCATCCAGCCAGCATCTTTTGTCCCTAGTGCAAACAAAAAGCAGTAAAAAAGGGTACTCATTCCCCAGCCCCTCCATGCTGGCACTGACCTGCCTGTGGAGCATAGACCTGCTGGGGGGGGCCTGAGGGGCTGAGCCCAGGCAGCAGCTCCAGGACAACACTGTGCAACATCTGTGATCAAGGTCATGCTTGGTCACTGATGGCCAAGTCTGGGCCCAGGACTGGTGACAACTCAGTGAACAAGCAGTCCAGCAAAACCCTATAGGCACATCTAAAGAGAAGATGACAAAGGTGTGTTAATGTACTGCTCTCCATATCTTTCTCCTCAAGCTAATTCTGAACATCTCAGCGCTAACAACTGTGGACTTTAAAATACACACCGGCTTCAAACTGCCATCTGCATCTGAGTACCACACACCTGGGGCTCTGCACTACCCTCATGCTGGCCATCAACTTTTTATGTGGAGTTAGGAAGAAACAAAGGAGGTGACACTGTTCCAGCCCTGCCCAACAGCACAAGGTAAACTGCTCTCAGAGCTGTCTGGTTGCCTTTGGTGTCTCCTCTGTCAGAGCATAATCCACTCACAGTAAAGGACAGTATAGTTTGGGGATTTCCTCTGCAGGGATAAGGAATGGTTTCATGAGACACAAACCACTTCTTGAGTATTTGTCCCCAGAATCTTGTCTCAGCAGGAACTCAGATGACGGGGATTGTAGGACTGACTACCTCACAACAGACAAGTTGAAGTCTTCCATGTTCTCACCCCTCACCATCACCTACTTTGTATTCTTTGTCAGGACATGCTGTAGTTCTGTGCTTGAGAAACCCTGAAACTATTAATACTTTCAAGTCACCCAGAACAGCTACAACAGGAGTTTCCCACTGCTTCCCTTTCTACTCCAACCTCACAGCTTACAGCAAAACACTTTTTACTCTTCTCCAGTTCTCCCACATGTTTATGGAGACTTCCAGCTCCCACAGGACACTTAGTGGCATCCCTTGTTTTCTCCAGGCTTTCCCATCTTCCAGGTCCCAGGGCAGAGACTGGTGCTAGGAGGAAGCCCAGAACATCCATCTCAGCAGGTTAATTGGGTTGTGCTCTGGGCTTCCCACTAGTGCCAACTCTGTGTGTTTCCGTGGGATCACTCCAAGCCAAAAAGCCTGCCTGAGGTTGCCTTCCCTTCTAATTCTCCAGCCTCTTTATCTCACTGACCCCCCACCAAGATCCTCAGTTATAGTTTTCTACATCACAGTCTGATGGTAAAGCCTCAGTACAGCTATGGATGTCCTCTCTTCTGGAGACATTCCCACCACTGAGGGCCACGCTGGGTCTTTTTTCTCCAGAAATGGGGAGCAGTGGGAGGTGTTGCCCCTTGTTTTCACCTGGTGGGAAGGAGATGATAAAAGAGCAGACTTGAAGCTGAACATGCATTTTAGAAGCTGCAGTCTCCATTTCCTCATGATTGAGAAGTCATAAAAAAAAATTAACTGTAAGGATAATACCATCATCAAAGAGCAGATGTGAACACTGGAGAGGTTTCTTTTCACTGTTACTAAAAAACAGGGCTCTTCTGTGCGTGAAGAGGGAGCAAAAGGAACCAGGTCTGAGAGGCCAAAACTGGAATTTTGCTCCATCTCCCTGGACAAGCCTGATGGTTATTCATGCACATGTGAAGAAGGTAAAACACAGAGAGCAGTGATTATAGTGATAAACCAGAAACAAAGCCAAAAGGAGACTCTCTCCCAGCAATGCCCTGACCCCAAGAGAGCTTGCCCTATCCTCAAGAGCTGGTAGGACACTGTGCAACTCCCACAGGAAACTCCCGCCACCTGAGGTGGGGAGGGAGTGACAGACCTGTGGGGCAGAGGGAAATTCCCTCCCTGATGCCAGTGCAGCTGCATCACCGTCTCCAGGCGTTCCCGAGACATAGAGGGGCCACAGCCTGGGCTAAAGTGGGGCTGGAAGCCTGAGCACTCCAGGACAGGTGGCAACACCCTGCTGTGGGGTCAGGATTGCATATCAAAGGGTTGTCAGGAGCTGTGTAGGTGGAAGGCTTGGCCTTCTCGTACAGCTGCCACACAACATGTCTGGCATTCTGGGAGAACCTTGTCGCAAATACACAGAGTATCATCACACCCAGTGGGGTCAAGCCCAGGTTGGGGACAGAAACCTCAGTGACCACATCCCTGTGGGTGAAAGCCTTCCCCAGCTCTGCTGTGCAGTGTGGTGGGTGGCAGAGGAGGGCAGGACCAGGAGCTCTCTGCAATTTCTCTTCAGTTTTTAGCACAGGCTCTCGCTCATCATCTCACCACAGTCCCATCCCAGAGTTTTCCCACGCTCTGCTCTTATCTCCAGGTGTTCACATCAGAAGCCATAGAGATTGGTGCATGGACTTCAAGGATATCAGCTTCTGAAGTGCTGGTGACAGGCAGCAGCACCAGCCCAGCAGCAAATGAAAGAAGAGGTTTGCTCTACGTGAAGCAAGGCAAAAGCTTTTCTGAATCAAGTTGTCTGTAGAGAGATTCACTCAGAGACAAAGTTCCTTGCAAGGATGGCATATCCTGTCAGCCTCAATGGAAGACGCAGAAAATGCAGTAGACTGAGATTATTGCTGTGTCACTCATCTTTCACTCCCTCTAACTTTTCCTTGTGAGTCAGAGCTGAGTTGCATGTCATGTTGCTGCTATCAACCCTGCTGTTCCTGCTGTTTCCCATCTGTGTATTCCACACAAGCAGAAACCTCTCTGTCCTTTTGGCAGCTTCAGAAAATAAATCATCAATGCAAAAGCATCGGTCTCAAAAGAATTTATTCTTTCCAAACAGGATACAACAAAAACTAGCTACTTGGCTGGCAGAGCTCTAGTTCCCAGCATTAAGGCTATGTCTCTCCTGCAATCCAAGGTGCAAGCACAGCTCCTGCAGGCACACCTGAACTAATGGGATTAAAGCCAGTTCAAGAACAGTAGCAATTAAAACAAAAATCCCTAAAGCATTAACCACTAGCAATGGAAGCCCTGGTTGCAAACCTGCACATCCTCTGCTAAAGCCTGCACTTCCACACCTCCCCAGCCAGCAGTACCCAGCTCACCATTAACATGGGTGTGTTCACATAGCTGATAATTTCCCTTCTGACTATGCTGGAGATACAGCCCAAGAATGCCTGCATTTAGGGGCACAGAGGTTCTTATCCCACCTTATAGCTTGAAAAACAGTAAGGACAGGACATTCTCAGCTCTGCTAGTCAGTCTATCCTCCTCAGGATGGAGCACAAAATCCACTTAATCAGTGACCTTACAGTACATGGGCATGAAATAAGGGTTTGGTGTCACTTAAGTTAATAAAAGCTCTTTTCCCCTCAGAGCAAAGCTCAGGAAAGCTGAAGAGTCAGTGTTTCATGTCTTTGTGGAGAAGATAATGACTTAAGAAGAGTCTCTTGCATTACCCCCATCCTTGTGCTTTGATGTTAATAGCTCATGTATGTATCCTTGAAAAAAAACAAAGCTTCACTTCTGATACGATCAAATCTTTGCACCTCACTTTTTCCAAAGTGAAACAATTTCTGCTGTGACTCAGACTAAGCACGTCATACATTGCACCCTTGAAGTAGGCAAAAGATTAACCCTCTGTCCCAAGCTCTCAGCTCAGACTTCAGCTTTTCAAACGAGGGTAATTTTCCCACGGCCACGGGATGGCAGAAGCCAGTACTGCTCTTTGTTAGGAAGTGAAGCTGCAGAAGTGACACGCCATCGGGGTAACACCA